ATTTATCAGTCAAGATAGACTAGAGCAAGAGAAAACTTTCTGGATAGTTTTACTGTCCAGATATTGCTAGCTTAAATTGCAAATTAGCCTGTGCAAAACATCTGTGAAGACCTGCACCTACAGCTGTCAGATGATTGCTTATATTTTAACTTAATGCTATGTGACCTTACAGATTGGTTAGAAACGGGTCAGTTGTGTATGTAAATCTTTTCAGTGCATGAAGTGACAAAAATATGTGTATTTGTAGTATAATCTCCATGAAGGGGCATGATTACAATTACATGACATGCATAGAAATGACCATCAAACTCCATCAAGTAAAGGCAGTTGTTCAATAACTTTAAACTGTTGCCTTTAGGTACCTGCTAAACTACTGAGGTACACGCTGAAACACCCTACCTTTACTGGATTCGTCAGCTAGGTAGCTTTCCAGAAATTAGAGTCTGTTAGAATAACAAGATTACTCATATTGCAGCCATGGTGGGAATCCCTCCTAATGGTGGCTTCCCACAGTTACAGGCATTTTCAAATGGGGCTTTCCCTTTTACAGTTGTCATTTTAATTGTTATAATGATTTTGTTAATTGCGCAAATTGTTTTGGCTATAAAAATGAAATGCTTAGCAAAATGAGTAATGGCAATACACCAACGCTGTGAATTACAGGCCATCCACAGGCCTGTAACAGTCATTATGAAGCAGGACCAGGTAGGAAATAGCAGATAACTCCTAGAAGAGCCTCTGCTCCAGTCCTGATCAGGAACCTTTAGCCAAAAGGGCGTTTCCAATATCCTTTCTGTTCTTGTGAGTGATACAGCTTGCAGTTTGGAGACTATCAGAAGGGGAAGTTTTGGTTGCCTGTAATAACACCGTGTATGTAACATTAGAAATAACACCTGCTGTAGGATGGGTGACAGTGAACCAGGTGTCATGGGCTGGCCCTGCAGTAGTTTCTCCTGGGACCACAGGGACTTCTCTGAGCTTCCTTGCTTTTCAGAGTAATAAGTTTGTGATTCAACAGGACAGATTTAGTAGAAATTTGCCTTCAACTGAAGAAAGAGATTCTAGGGACAAATTCCTGTGCACAAGAGTGGAATAGGCATGCTGGTAGGAAATGGCATTACAAAGCATATAGTCAGAGAAATGGAAACAAAACTGCAGTGTCCCAGACCTCAGAACAGTCCAGATACCATCAGTGAAAGGACAAGATTGGCTCAGAGCGATGTGCATCCCAGAAAGGCAGGACAACAGCCCTACTGTAGCTTAATTCTTTGAATACAGAGGGCTAACACAGTAACAGCCCGTACCAGAAGGCAATAGTGCTGTGTTAGTGGCTTACAGACAACATTAAATCTTTCAGAACATAGAAAAACACCCCTGCAAAGCAGGGTGACTTTGAAAAGACTGCTAGTGAGGGGTAAGGGAGCCTGACGTGTGAGTCTTCTCAGGAAACTTGTTGAAATACTATCCAGAGAGTCCTCATCATTACAAAGATATGCAATACCTAATATCAGTTTGTGGCAGCCCCACAAGCCATCATAGACAGACATGATAATTTATTGATGCAGGACGGCAGTGTGACTCTTCACTCAATTAATTTATTACACAGAATTATTCACACCATAGTTTGCAAGAGCCTGATGTTCCCAAATTAGCCTCAGCAGTCTTAGCATCGTGTAACAGTGGATCTAACAATCTATTTCTCAGTAAAATTGAAGGGTCACCTTAGCCTCCTGTGTCAGGATAGGGCCTGATCCTATACTACAGTGCAAATAGTATTCTCAATTGTAGCAACAGTTTTTCAGAATTGTAACAACATTTTACATGGATAAATCCTCTTGAATAATATGTTCATACATTTAAATCTGTCTGCATTTTTCTTTCTTTACCTTAACTTACCATTGATGGAACTACAGTAATATCAGTGGAGCTACAGCATTTATTACAGGATAAAGTGCAGAGCGCCTGTAAAATGAGACCAAATTGAATATATGGCAGTTTAGGCAAAATAGCATCATTTTCCACACTCCATACAGGGCTATAGTAAATGTACCCTCTTTTTCTGTGTTTGCAGGGTGTAACCACAGATTCACTATATACTTCTTGTGGTTTTTAATTGGTGTCTAATTTTCTCACAGCATTGAGCAGATAATTTTGAAATGTCCATAAAACGTACATTTTAAGCAAACAGGGCACCAAGCTGGATTTCAGTCTTGTTTACAAGTTGAAAGATCCAAAGGTGCAACAGGGCTGCTGCAAACTCCATTCTATGCCCTGGAGCAATCTTACACTAGCAGGATAAGTGGTTTATTTGATGATTCAATTTAAAGCCTTTTCTGATTGCAGATTACTGTCACTGAAGTGACAGTATCCTTCTGTAGGGAGAGTTTGTTACAGGAAATTTTAGTGAAAGGCTCTTTTGTTCTACCTTTACTGTTTTTAAAATCACTTTGTATTAAATGCGTTTATGAGCCCTCTGTCAGTTTACTTCATGCACAGCCTGAGTGTTTTAACTAGAGATGAAACTAAGGTTCTGATTTTTGAGTCTTTTCAAAGTATGAAGTAATGGGTTTGTCCTTTTTACAGAGAAAAGGACGAGTCAAGATAGCCAGTTCCAAGACTGGATTTAGTCTTAAGGTCTGGATTCTATGACTTTCCAAAAAATTTAGTGTTTTCACCTTGGGTTTTAATACTCAAATATTTTGGTTTTATTAATATTTGAGTATTTTTATTTTAGTGTCTTGATAATGTCATTTGTCTGTGTATGTCTTGTCGTTCTTTATATTCTAATATTTAATATGAAGACTTTCTTTCTACTCCCAATATCTTCTTCTTTGTGAAACTTAGGTTTAATCTTTAACTATATATATATTTAGACTTAATTCAGCCCTTACGTAAGTGGATATCTCCCAGGAACTTGAAGGCACTTGTATCTATTTATGCAAACCTGAATTTGACCCACTGCTTTCTTTGTGAATAAGGAATAAGGAACAACAAGGAGCTTAGGTCATTAGTCATGAACCATGTCATTAGTTACACAAAATCCGTTGGACCCATTACTTTGCTGATATTACATAAATACATCAAAGCCTTCACATCCATGAATTGCTTAGCAACTCATGCTTTTTGTGTTTCCTTGATAAAATCTGAGTGCTCAGATTTTTTGCTGGATGAATGGTATTGAATCAGAACCTGAGATCCTTAGATTACCAGCCTGATTGCTGTCTCCAGTTTTATGGGTCTCCAATTAATCAGAACTGTGTATTCAAACTCCAGGTATGGATGGGAGCATAAAAAAGGTGAAAATAGTTGGATTTTGAAGGGCGGGGAGACATATGTTCACACTGTGCTCAGAAAATGCTCTGTGTATTATCAATGGGCACTTCCAAGTCAAATTTTCTTCCCTCATTTTTGCTGATCATTTGTCCTTTTAAATGAACGTATCTGCTCTCCCCCAGTTTGGTTAGATTTTTTTTGTACTTTCCCAAAGCTTGTTAGCACACCCCTTTTTAATAGTTTCTCCTGACTGTTTTCCCCCACTTCTATCTCTTTCACAGAAGTAATCAGAATTGGTTGAAGCTCCCAGTACACACTGGCCATTCCCACCAAGTTAAGGAAATAGATTAATTAAAATACCAATGGACACTGGCATATGGTGCTGTGATTATTACTGAATAAACAGTTTAAACAGGTTTTATAAGCATCTTGCCACTCAAGAATATTTATTCTTACATGTAATGCTTACTTATCCACTTATTTAATTATCTGTATAGTTGTGTAATTGTTTTATATTTTATGAACAAACTTTTTTATATATGTTAGCAAGAAAAAGGGTCAACAAAAGGGGAAAATTACGTGAGCAAAGAGAAGACGACATCAGATCTGTGAGAACTCATACACTGCAGTATATAAAAACATGCAACTCCTTTCAAACTAGATAGCAAAGTTGAAATCAGTAGCTGGCATGACACAGAAAATCAGTGTCATCTATTAGGTCAGCAAGCCAGGGTTCTGAAAAGTCCCAGTATCATTTTTGATTCACCCTGAAAACTTGACATAGAGTGGAAATTATGTTCTTATATTTTCCTAATTTCCTAAGTATTACCCAAAATAATAAAAAACACAAAGCATTTCTTATGCCTCATTGCACTGTCGGAGTCCTGTTAGGGGGGCAACAGCAGGTAAAATAGAAATGACAGAGCTGAAAGTCACTAAAGGTTTGAGAGATGTGGCCACTGATGACATGAAGGCACACAGATACCTAAGAGAAGAGAAGCGGCTGATCAATGAATGGTTAGAATGGCTTGGCTTGGTATGACCTAGGCTGCTTCCTAAATGTTTCTGAGAAGGCCATCAGTTTTTCCCCAGTGTTAACGGAGAGAAAGAAAAAAAATGTTTGTAGCCTTTAAGAACAATCTGAAGGGTGCCCTTACGACCTGCTGGGGAGCTCGTGCTACTTGGTAATCGGCCTGAAGGGGAAAAAAAGTCTGTTGAAGATTCCACAGCAAATGGTTTAGTTCACGTTATTTTTCAGTCTTCACAGTGCTGTCTTTGCAGATTATTAGGCTTTTAGCAAATATGATAAGATGGTAGTCCATGTTACAAAGAGAATAGCAGTTACCAAATACTTGTGCAATAATTCACTTGAGCTAATATAAATAAGGTAGACAGAAGTGGTAGGAAACAAGCAAATTAACTGACTAACGTTATGGACCCTGACTGTGGAAAAAGACAGCATGTAGGCATTTAAGTGTTGTCCAGATTTACCTACCATGACAGGCAAGAGTTATATTCATTTCAGGGATACAGGAGTTCAGTTTATTTGAATTCCTCGAGTATTCAATTGAATACAATGCTGTGAATAGAAATGTAAGCACAGAACTTTGTTAGGCCTGATGACCTTGAAAGTGAGAGGACGTTTTTTGATGCTGTTGTCTGTACAGAAAAGAAGTCACAGGGATAGCTTTGAGGCAGACGAGCACTTTTAGTGTTCAAGTTTCGCAATGTCAGCTTCAGTTGGAGGTATGCGGCTTCTCCTCTATATCCAGAAAACGGCTAAAAATCAGTCAGTAAATACAGTGGGTGAGACAATACCGAAGTAATACAATAGCCTATTTTAGGTAAATGGAAGCAGACTGGGCCTAGGAATGCCTTTGGTACATCTTGTGAGTCTTGTTAAGTAAAGAAAATGGAAGTGGAAAAAGAAGCCAAGCACCAGGATGAATCAGGCCGGAAAAGGAGGAGGTCGGTGTGCAGAGGGTGTGCAAAGTCAAGCCGGGCAAAAACAGCTTCTGTGCCCTCTTGGAGGCCAAGAACAGATCCCTGAGGTTCCCAAACCTCGGCTGGCACCAAATATCTTTGAAAGATGCTGGCACTGTCCCAGATGTATCTGTTGACACAAAAGATAATAAACCATTTCTGGTCTCATTAACTCAGTCGTCAGAAAACAAATATAACCTTGTTCATGAACTGTATAAAGGATGACATTTCACAGGACTGAATACCTGTTTTTCTACTTGTTTTGGACTTTTCATGTGGAAGATGAGGTAAAAAGTCTCTTCACTAAAAGAATAGCATTGCAAACTAGAGCGTCCATGCATCCTTTTCCTGCCTCCTTCATGTGTAGGCCCTGTAACAGACTTACTAAATGACATTTGAATTTAGGCTGTAAATAAGGGTCATAGCTGAGTCTAGTCTCA